GGTCAAAGAGGGGCAATGATGTAAAGTAGACCTTGCAGCCAAGGACAGCATCCTGGGCAAAAAGGACTCTCAGCAGAATGGAAGAACAGCAGTGCAGTTAGCACACAGGCTGTGAGAGGACAAACATTCCTCGTGGTGACAGCATCTGTTTGAGCAGTGCCTCTGCTCGCTTTTGCTCTTCTGCTGTTCCCATGCTTCTCTTTGAGAGACTGCAGAAAGGACCATGGGAAAGGACTAATGTAGCCCAAATTAGGGGCAGGAAGACATTAAGAGCAAAATTGAAGCAGATTACTTAGCTGCCACTACAGCTGAGAAAAGTCAAACCAGACTCTGCTTCCAAACTGGGCCTAATTGATAAATAACGTTAAACTTGGAGCAATCTGAAGAAAAAGGCCAGTTAGCACCTGAGGATTAAATACGGGAGTGTTAAGAAAGTGATAAGGTTGTTAATGCAATCACAGCCCTCTCAGGAAATGGGGGCAGGATGCCATTCTAAGGTAATTGCATTTCAACAGGGTTCCTCCTGCTGGACTCATGTTAGCTCCTGACCTGGTAGTAGTTCAGCCTGCCCATTCAAAGTAAATAGGATGTAACCTACAGGGCATAAAGATCTACAGAAGGACTTTCAGCGTTACCCTTTTGGTGCTGGAAGGAAGATGTGTTGAGTCAGATTAAATTTGGTATTATTTTGGGGTTTAATTCCCGGGTAGGATTCAGCGGAAGTTGAGGAGAGTGTTGCTAGCTGGAAACCCTTTTTGGCGCAGTTAAGCCCATTTAGGATGTAATACCTACAGAAAAAGGAAGCTAAAGGGCCCTTTCCATACTGTGTCCCTACTGCTGCTGATGTCTAAGCTCAGGTCCTTTGGAGATGGCAGCTGAGAGTGGCAGCAAGCACATTGACTTCATGGGGATTTACAAAATATGGTGTGTACCTGTACTGAAGTACTTGTACTGTTATCTATGCTGGGTCTCAACCAGCATTCTCCAGTACATGAAGGACAGCCTTCCTTACCAGTGACTCTCCTGGATGCAAGGGTATGCAGGAGTCTGCTATCCAGGATCCAAGCCAGACCCCTGAGCAAGAAAGAAGGTACTAGAGAGTTTCTACCCAGTAGGAATGTTGGTGCTTTTAGCATTTGGTGCTGAGCTTTGTGCTATGGAGCCAGTCAGATCAACTAATCATAAGGATCCTTTTTGACAGGAAAGTAAGCAGCACTTGTGAGGAATTGTGCTGGCCTAGCAATGGACTGGGCTAGCTTCACCCAGCCTGGTGGGGTGGTTTGTGTTAGCAACAGTCTCCCAGGAACTCATCTGTGCTCTCAGCAGCATCTGAAAATACAGGTTGGTCAAGCAGCACTGCAAGGCAGAAACAAGCCCAGACTCTACCAAAGCCAGGTAGTAGCAAAGATCCAGTACTGTACTATAAGAGGATGAGAGCAAGGCTTTAAAGACACCTCAGGTGGCTTTGGTAGGAAACTCCATTTAATGAGATAGATTCACCCCCCCACACCCAGGAGTTCAGCTTTGTTCACGGATTTCAGGGAGTTTTAGAGTGCTTATTGTGCATATGACAGGATATGGCTCAGTGGAATGACTCACTCCTTGTAAAGTTAATTCACACTTTGCTGCTATTTCCATTCACAGGTGCTTCTGTAAGATTTAGTGCCAGGAAGCTACAAAGCTGGGAGCCAGCTCCAAATACTCCCACAGGTTACTTTGCATCTAGTAAACAGTGGTGTATAGAAGGACAGTGTGATTGCGTACTTGGTAAACAACCGTGCCCCCTCCACCCCCCAAAAAAATGCAAACAAATCCTAAAAACCCCAACAACATCCTTACCCAAAAACACAAGTTCCCAAATCATGTTTTATTTGCAGTAAATTCCTATTCCCTTCTAATTTCTGAATTTGCTCATTATAACCTCTGCTACACTGGGTTTTTGTCCATTTTCTTTCCTAGCTCTCTGCTGAACCACCACACTCTTCACTTTCCAGCCCTCTGGCTCTGAAGCAGCTTTGGGGCTCCACAGCTGGACAGGCAGGAGCTCTGATTTATCTGTAATACTGAAGATAGAGCTAAAAGGGTTAGCTTGGATAGACCCTTTGCATCCTATGTGGCACAGGCAAAATTTTTCAGAATTTGAGCAGTGTTTAACTACCAAGGTAAGTTAACTGAAGTCGGTTGCTAAACTACCCATCAGCCTAATGACAGAGCAGTGTGCTGTTATTAAGGCTCCAAATGCAAGTCCTACATGGGCTTGGCTCAGTGAGTGCTGGGAAGGCCTCCTGACTGGTCCCTGGCTGGTGGCTTCTGGGGAGAGGCATTGAAATGTTTGCTGCTCCATCCCCCTCAGCAGCCTCCATGCTGAGTGGCTGCTGAGGTAGAGAAAGTAGAGAAAGATTAACTGAGGTAACAGAAGGAACCTGGAAAGTTTCGGCTATGAGGGGATTTTTACCATTGTTAGTGGGGGTTAGGACATGGAGTGAGAAGTGGGATTATTTCCCTGTTATGCTTATTGTCAGTAAAATGGAGTAACTCCTTCTCCATATTAAAGCCCAACTTAATTTGCACTGACAAAATTACAAACACAAATTGTGGACATTAAAAAAATTTATTTGAACAAATTTTAGACACAATCACATAGGAAGAAAGTAGCTCTCAGTACCGTTTCTTTTCCAGAATGAAATCACCCCTGTTTCATACCAATCTACTGCAGGACAACCCTTGCTCTCCTCAGCAGGAAGGAGGCTGGTGTTCTTTCCACCTGTGGATTTGCTCCACAGGGATATGGCATGCTCTTTGGCAGGTCACACCACAGCCCTTGGTCTCACAGGCTAAAGAAATGTGTAAAGACCCAACAGACAAACTGAACTAGTGATACAGCGAAGGTGCCTCTACAGGTAGGATATACACACAGGGATGTATTGGTGAGCGAGAGCTTTATGAGGAAGTAGTGTCCTACCTAGACCTGTGTCAGACATGTCACTTCTAGTTACTGTCTCTGTGCTCACCATCTCTTAGGACTCCTCACTGGACTCAAATGGCATTTCAGTTGGAGAAGTTGTTTCAACATTCAGCTCATTTTGCTGCACCATCTTTTTCAGGTCTCTGAGCCTTACCCTAGAAGCAGCTCCAAGGCTATGGGCCACCTGCCTTCACAGGAAGACTTCTCTGCCTCTTTCATCCTGCCATACTGCCCAGGGAGACAGCAGTCTTTTCTCACATCCTGGGAACTACATAAGCTGCACTACAAAACCAGATGGCTGTGAGAGATGTTCACAGGCATTTGTTGGGAGCCATTACTTGTGTTTGCCTTGCTACAGGCTCACGAGCTCACCTTAGCTTGCTTTTGGTCTAGGGCAAACCATCCACAGCTATTTCTCTTTCTGTCACATTACTCCAGAGTGTCCCAAAGTGATGGGCTGTGGCTAAATGCAGAGAACTTCCTGAGTATCAAAAGCATTGCTTGACAGACCTGTCACACTCTCTGCTACATAAACCAAAATGAAATGTCTCTGCAAAAGAAGATTTAGAGATTGATGCAAGTTCTGTAATAAAATATAATAAAATGTGAATAGACTCTCTGGGATATTAATCCCCCAAGAAACAGGTGAGAGAGGAAGGGAGTGAAACGTGACAAATTATTTTCTTATAGCATAAACTTCATGGAGGTCCTTTGCTTTTGATTTCAGCAGATCAAGCAGTGACTTTTAAAAAAGGGAAGTGTAACAGAAAGAAGCCCTGAGTCCTCTGTTCCTGTTCTGCAGCCTCAGGAAGAACAGTACAAGTTAAATTCCATTCTTCTGTGTAGATCTGAAATGGAGGGTTTTACCAATGAAGAGGAGCTCTCTCTCACTATAGCCCCCTCCTTTTTATTCAGAATGGAATGTATGGACAATATTACTTTGAACTCCATATCACCAGCAAAATTTTCAGGTCCCTAAAGGTTTCCCTGCATATTAACATCTCAACTAAGTAGAATCACAACTTTCATTTAACAACATTCATTCTTCTTTCCTTCTCCATCTACCTTTCTTCATTCCATCTTTCTCCTTTCTATTTGCTTCCTTTTCTTCCTTCTTTCTCCATCTACATCTCCATCAACCCCTTGTTAGTGTTATAAAACCCTTTGCTGACAGTTTTTTCTCTGCTAAACAGAGCCACTCCTCACGGTTCCTCACCTCTTCTTTCTTTTGAAACACCACACACACAAAAGGCCTTTCAAAGTTGGTCCCCAAGTCCACAACTACTTTTTAGGATAGGATTATAACACTGGCACCCAATGGACTAGAAAGTCCTCTCAGAGAAGGTTTTGCTCAAAGTATTACTGTAGCTCCTACTGCATTTTCTCTTCAGCCTGCTAATGGCCTTTACGTAGGAAATACCTTCTCAAGAGTACTCCTAGGACAGAGCCTTTAAGAAAGAGTGCTGCTTTCTCATAGCCAAGTGAATTCTACCGATTTTGGCAAATGGAATCAGAGGGGGAACCCAAGGCTCATGTGACAAAGTCTGCACCCCATACCTGACCACACTGCAGTTGCAATGTAACTGCCCCTGCCCTACTCTGCTATGTCTGAAATCAGCCAAAGCACAGGCTGATTTCAGAAGTCACTCATGTTTATTATGCTGCATCAGAACTCTGAAAGTGTGTGAGCTTCAGAAAACTGGTCATTTTGAACAATGTAAGGAACCTTCCTGTTCTGGGGTACTGAGTCTTGATGTACTAAAGGCTCACATTAGTCTGGGACACTACAGACATGTCCAGCAGGTATTATAGCTGCCTGGACCATTCCACATCTCAGCACTGGAATTCCACTCCAGCAATGGAAGTCTTGTTCATGTCTCCTAAGCATCTGATACTTGTACCCAGCAAGAGACAGGTTTCCAAGCCCAGCAGCTTATCATACCCTCCTTGCTGGGGCCATAGGAGCAGTCACTCCAAGAAGGTGCAGAGCCAATACTGGCATTGGGTGTTTCTTTTCCCCTCCCTCAAAGCAGCTTCAGACAAAGCAAAAGAACTTCTTCCAGCGGCACTTAGAGAGAGTCTTGATGCCTTTGGCAGTCATCTTCTTTTCCTGACGTGCCTTGTGCTCAACACCGCTGACAATGGCCATGTCAAAAACTTCTTTAAGGTTCTTCTGGGTCAGTGCTGAGCATTCCAGGTAGGCTTCAGCCCGGATTTTGTCAGCTAGACCTTCTGCCTGAGGCCGGGGCACAGGCTTCACGTGATAGCGATCCAGGCTGATGAGAACATTGACATCGTCCCGCAAGTCTGCCTGTGTCCCCACTAGCAGCACTGGCGCCCGGGGGTTGTGAGTTCGTATCTCAGGGATCCATTTCTCTGTAATGTTTTGGAAGGAGCTTGGATTTACCACACTGAAGCAGACAAGGAAGACGTCGGTGTCAGGGTAACAAAGAGAGCGCAAACAGTCAAAGTCCTCCTGTAGAAAAGGGAGGGGAAAAAAAAAATCTTCATTGCAGTGGTCTTCTAACAGCACAATGCTGCACTAGCTTTTCTACAAGTTAACTAGGATAGCAACAGAGGCAGGGCATTGTACTAACTTTGTGGCCCTGCCCCATTTCAGACACAAGTTTCAGAGCCGAGGGCATCTGTCATTCACTTGTCTGACTGCCATATCAGCAAATGGCTGGTGCTGGATCAGTGCATTTCCTTTCTTTCCAGTTAAACTGCCTTCCTCAAAGCCTAAAAACTATCCCTGTCCCACAGGACCAGAGTTGACAGCTGCTTTGATAGAGCTTACCTGTCCAGCAGTGTCCCACAGCTGAATCCGGACTGGGGCTCCATCCACAAGGACCTGCACTGTAGCAGAAGGAGAATAAGGATGAGTCTAAAGCAGCTGACCAGCATACACACACTCATACAGGCTTTTCCTGAGTGCTCTGGTTCATATCCTGCTGAACAGACTCATTGAAGTCACTCAGGTCTCATCCTAGCTGAGCATCCTCCCAAACCTCATTAAGACTGTTGAAGCTTGCACTGGAAACATTAAGAGAACTGCAGTAGACCTGATTATGATAGCTCTCAGGTGTTTTGTGTTCTTCTCCAGAACTCTGAAAGAATAGTTCCACGATACTGGACAACTGCTCCTCTGGACAAAAAGACCCCTTAGTCAAGTAGTTCCCTAAGAACCACTTGTTCTTCTACAACCCAGGAAAAAAGATAAGGACAAAACCAGAGAACTTCAGCAACTTGCTCCCATCTTCTTGGCCAAGCAACTTCAAATCAGTATCCATCAAACAAGCTATTGGAGATTTTTCCCATCGAGACCAGAAATTTGGTCTTAAAAAAATGTTACGTGTCTTAGCTAAGGAAAAACCCACCTTTGTAATGAAGAAGCTATTAAGGAAACAGCGATGAGTGAAATCCCTTTCAGAGACTATCCACACACTGAAAATCTGCTGAGTTACACATGTAAGGTTTGCTCCCATTTCACTCCCTAATCACAGTAAGCCTTCATGTGGTATCAGCTGACTCAGACTGAGGGCTGGCAGGACTTTTGATGGCAATCAGGAATGAAACTGTTAGATGTTTAAGTGCATAGACACCACAGAGATTGGCTGGGAACTGAGGAGAGGGAAAAGGGTTGTGGAGCTGGAAATCACTTGAAAGTCCTGACAAGGTGGATGGGGCTGTGCTTGGGTGAATAGAGACAGACATCATGGCTAAGGTGACAATGGCTGGCACTTGACATGAACTAGCAAAACTCCACTGCTGTGTGCAGAGAGGAGGCTTTATTGTCCTTTTTGTTTAAAAAAAAACCAAACCAAACCAAACCAAAAAGCTCCCCAAAATCCAAAAACAAATAAAAAAATCTCCCAACCAGAAGCAGGATCAATCTTTTGTGATTCTTGAAGTAATTAATCAGGTGAGAAATGACAGAAACAAGAGAGTTTAACACAAGCTTTTGAAAGAGAGCACTCCTCCTTGAAAGCAGTCTGGGGGGGGTGGGGGAAAGGGGCACACAGACAAAAAGATGAACTGAAGTGTGTTGAGAGACCAAGACTGGAAGAAAAATGAAGGGGTGGGTGCGTCCACCACAGTGCCACTCCTCACGGCAGCTGAAAGTCAATGCTTCCGTGTGACTGGGAAACAGTTGGGCTGTTACCATATCTTTGCCCCAGAGGAGGAAGAGAAACCTGTTCCTGATCAAAGAACCTGCTAGATCCTGACTTGATCTTCAAGGCAGCAGGCATTTGACTTTCTAGTATCTGGTTTTCTCTGTCTCACAAGTACATTGAGAGAAGGAATTAGCATCTCTGAAATGTCTTGCCATCTTCAGAAGAAACTCACCACATATATTACCTACTGCTCCAGTGTTTGCACAGTTTCATCCCATTTGCTGCTAGCTTGAGCTACGCTAGCAGCTCTGCAACAGCCCTCCAAATACCGCCCTCATAAAGGTCCACACCCTCAGGATGAGGATGGATCTTGGTACAATAGCAAAGGGTCTGGCAGAACAGGATAGCCTGGTGGAGAAAGGTCACTGGGTACACATTTCAGTCAAGGCTGCTCTACCTGGCAGTGACACCCAGCAGGAGGTAGCCAGACAGATGTGTGTGGCTGGGTCACTGGTTCCCCTGACAATGCAACACCTTCTCCTATCTTGTTATTGGCATCACAGTCCCATGACCAGGATTAAGGTTAGAATTGAAACTGCTCAGTTCTGCTGGCAATTTCAATGGCAGGTATTCCCCCAAAGTGGAAGGAATTGGGTTGAAATTTCTGACCTGGATCCTGAACCATAATACGTGACTCCAGGAAGGGACTTTCTTCAGGCTTATCCAGATTAAGAGTAGAGGTGGGAAGGGAAACTTGTTTGTTTTTCTGTTTCTTCCCAATAAGCAGAAAGTGAACTTCACAAAACACATTTTTAATGTTTTTGATTTCTGTCAGTTACAAATCCTATGAACCTCTGAAGTCAGATTTAGTACTGGAACATCCAGACTGGGACTAAACCTATGGGCAGCTGTCTTCAAATTACCTGCTGATAATCAGGGAGTCTCTGCATTCATCTTGCCTTCACCTTTCTGAGCCATTTTATTATGGATTTTCCCTTCCAAAAATGTGCAGTCTAATAACTACAGTAATTTTAATCCTCTCTTAGTGAAATCCATACACATGACTGTAAAGAGAGCAGAGAGAGAAGTAACTTTTCCTTTGGAGGACCCATGATTCCTTACATCTCTTCACAAAGGACTTCTGGACCGTGAACAGCAGCATGTTCCCAGTTCAGTTACTTCAAGTAACAGTGGAATAGCTTGGAGAAGGTCAAGGTAAATCAACAGCTCTCAGAGTGAGCAACTGAGGGGGGACATTCAGACAAACAAAACACTCCCTGTATGCACCCCTAAGACTATGACACATTAGATGTCTCATTCCTGGTCTGACTTGAGCACATCTCTAATCTACCAATCTACATCGTCAAGTAGTGCTGTGTTTCTTCATATCAAATGAAGATAAGAAATCTTTCAAAGGGCTTTGTATTCTCCTGGGGTTTATATTAGAAATTTGAGCCCAAAGGAAGGGGAGTGTAAAATAAGAACAAAGATAGCGTTTACGAAAGTGGAAACTAATGAGAGCTCATCGACTTGCAATTCTAGCCAGACTTAAAAAGCTCGTCAACTTTTTGACCACCTCTATTCAATGCTAATTTCATCAGACATGTAGGGAAAAGAATGGCTTTCCTGAGTATCAGTTGAAGCTAAAATCACAGTGTTACGCTACTGGCTATTTCTGAAGCTAAAACCATCACAATCAATTAAAAAATCTAAGCCTCCTTCTATTTAGCCATACATAACACCACAAAACCAGGAAGGTGCCAAAGTTCATAGAACTTGCAAATCAACTCGACACAGTTGCAGGACGGAGGACCTCCACCTGCTAAACTTCACAAAACGTCGGAGGGACTCGGTGCGAATCCCAGAAACGCCCTGGGGCTGTGTGCCCGCAGGCTGCGCTGCCCGTAGAGCCCCCGGTGCGCAGCGGCGCCGTGGCCCCGGGAGCGCTCGCCTCCATCCACCCTGGGAGCGCGCTCCTCCCGACGCCGCATCCCGAGGTTTCGCTGCTCCACACTGGATCCTCCCGGCCGCCCCATCCCCGGGCAGCCCGGACGGGCACTTACCGGAGAAGGTGTCGAGGGCGGTGGGCTGGTACTCGTCGGGGTACCCGTTGGTGGTGTAGCTGACCACCAGGCTGGTCTTGCCCACGGCGCCATCGCCCACCAGCACGCACTTGATTCCCAGCTCCGGGCCGCTGCCCCGGGGCGGGCTGTGTCTCCGTAGGGCGGGCGGGTAATCCAGGAGCTCCTGGGGCGGCATGGCAATGGCACTGACGGTGGCACCGCGGACTCGACAGGGCTCAGCCTTGGGAGCGGCGAGGCGGGGCCGCTGCCATGCTTCTGAGAGCGGGCTGCTGTCGGGGCTGCCGTGCGGGGCCACCCTCTCCTGCCCGCCTAGCTTCGCTCCTCATCACTACACCTGCCACCGTGCGCACAAAACCAGCCCCTATTTCCCTAGTCCCGCCCTGGCCCGCCCCACCGGGAGGTGGCCGGGCCCAGCCCTGCTCTGCCCGGCCCGGTCGCCTCCTCCCGCCGCCGTCCCGCGGGCGAGGGTCCCGCTGCTGCAGCCCCGACCCCCGCGGTGCCCCCGAGCGGAGCCGGCCCTCGGAACTTCGGCAGGTGCCACGCCGTGCTCTGAGTCGCGCACACACAGTAAAGCCGCGCTCCATCTAAGTCTTCCCCGCTTCCTTTTCAAAAGAAGCAGCTCCAATGTCCCATTTGGGGCATCTGTGATTTCTGCCATGAAATCAGGACAGAAATAAAACCAACAGTGGGGGTCAATGTTGTGAAGGGCAATATAAAACAAATGGCCAAAAATTCATCACATCTGTTAACTAGGCATTCCCCATTACTGGGTTCCTGGGGCCCAGCCAAGCTGCTACTACCCGCTGGCAAAAGCCACAAAGTGTATTTTCCCAGCTGCACGGACAAGTGCAGGAGTTCCTAGTCTGCTGCCTGTTTTTCATATTCACCTCTGGTAGCTCACACACCACAGTGCCCTTGGCAGCTAAGAAGACGGCTCCATCCCTGCCCTGAGGAGCTCACCGTCTAAAGAAGTATGACTGAACAAACAGAGGAGTGGGAACACACCACTTAAAAGGACAGATACAGCCACACTATCTCAGCCATCACTGCAAGCTAGTGTAGCAGCTCCAAGTGATTAGAAACACTGGAGGGAAAGTATTAATGCCTGCAATTCCCAATATTGCAACATTAACTTTGAATGTGGAGCTGCTTCCTAATGGAGGAGCTAAACTCAGGCTGTCAGTGACCAAAATTAATTTAGTTACCATGATGTCCTTCATGGTCCTCTCAGCAAGGCAGACCTGTCTGCACTAGGCAGGTTTGTGCTGCAAGCAGCTGCTGATCAGCAGTTCATGAGTTTGTCTTGCTGTAGTTTGCATCCATGCAGAGAAGATACAAAGGTGTTTCACCTACACTAATGTTGAACTTGAGAAAAAATCTTTAAGTCAGGCACAGTCTAGTGTGCTTTTACCTGTGGCTGACAGAAAGTCATAAGCACTGCAACCCTTCCGGTTCAGTGGACAAAGCATGTCCACTCTTTGGAGTCAGCAAACACACTTCCTGGGAACTGCAAGAAGACTTTTCCTCTGCAGTTTTTTCTAGCAGTTTGCTTTAATCAACCCCTTATGTGTTTTTACACATAGCGCAGCCTTAAACTTCTACAGCTACAAAAATACTGGGGATGATATTAGCAACTAGGCTGCTGCTAAAACATGTGCCAGGTAGTCTTGCTACAGCAAGTGGCTGCTATCTCAAGGGACGGGCCAACATTAAACTGGCTTTTTCGAGTGCCATGCTCTTCAGTGCTAGTTCAGAGCCAGGTGACAGCTGAACTGCTCCAGAAAAGGCAGAATGCGCTGGGGCTGGCGATACTCTGCAGTGTGTGAGGTGTGGCAGTGCCTCCAATGGGACCAGCAAGGACACAGCACACTGCAGCTGGGACAGGCAGCACAGCTAGCAAGGATCTTGCAAAGCTTTCCCAGTGCATTTCAGACACTGGCTGACTTTCTGTGAACCATGTTATCTCCATTTAATCAGAAGAAATGAATGCAAATGATGGATTATTCACCAAATTTTTCACTGTTAGCAAGGAAGAGAAATGAAGAGCAGTTGATAGCTCCAGCTTTCCATTTGCTGTTTACTCAGGAATGGATCTCCCTTAAGAAGATACACTGTTGCCCTATTCCAAGGATTCAGCTCTTTTTCTCTTACTCCTTTCCTAAAATCTCTTCCTTCTGGGACTATGCTCCTTTTTCCTTGCAGTTTCTGACAACCGTTGGTTGACACACACTTAACTTGTCAATGAGCTTAAGTGATTTTTAATCTATATTTAAACTAAGTGATTAAGCAAACAAACAGGGCCGCTCCCACAGATTCATTTCTCAGGTCTTGCCTTGGTCCTGACAGCTAACAAAAGATGCAGATTCAGTTTCACAATGCAGAGAACAGTCAGATATTTTGGGTTTGCTAGATTTTTTTTGTACAGTTTTGGCTTTTTTGCAGTGAAAGTCTGTCCCATTACCCGAGCTGCTGAAGCAACAGCTCCAAGGACTGGCTCTGCCTATGTAGGTAGCAGGTACATTAGGAGAGCCCCTTTGCATGCTGCTTGCCTGACATCCTCCTCTGCCAAAATCATCTGTTCCTGAGTGAGAATTACACAGTCTGCAAGGCTGTATTTGGCCTCACTCCCAGGAATTATAATTAGTACAAATTATGATGGTATTTCTCATGATGTGAATTCCTATCCACCAGGAATTAAGTGCAGAAGATCAAACTCTTTCCAGGCAGATCAAATACAGATTTCAGGTACTGTTAGTTTTTAGCCATTACTCAGCTGGGCTGCACAGAAAAGCTGCTCCATTAAAGTGATTTACAGTGGAAATAGATTTCTGTATTTAGGCAATGTGTGATTGTCACCACCAAAAAAACTTCATACATCTCTATTAATTATAATAATTCTTCTCACTGCTGCTGTGGCAGGACAAGTCCACATATGGACCAAAACAAGAACAGTACATAAGCCAATTTGGATAAGGAGGACGCATGGGCTTGTCCCTTGTGGGGATGAAACTATGAATCAGCTCAAAGTATTCCATATAATTTCCCTTCTGAAGTAAAGTGTTATAATAGTGTGAAATGGTGACTCTGCTTTTTTGCAGATAGTGGTCCTGACTTTCAATGGCTCCTGAGCAATGCTTGACTTCCAACAACCTCATATTCTGTTCCTCTGACAACACTGTATTATGCCTTCTTGGCTGATATTCTGCTTCCCAGTCTTGTCCAAAAGTCACAGAGTGGAAGCCATTATCATTTTTGCAAAGCCTAGCAAACTACTCATGTTGCCTCAGAAAAAACATTGTATTTATGGGAGGTGGCAGTTTTAAAAATAGCATGGCTCTCTTCTCAGCAAGGAAAAGGAAACAAAATTATCACCCCCTCCTAACATCGCAGTGAGGAACCCAGCCTTCAACATTACCTGCATTTGCACAAGTGGGCTGTATATGTCAATATGGTTCCTTTGCAAATGGTGCCCTGGGATCACATTTCTGAGTCTGTTCACAGTGCTGCACAAGAGAAACCCTGAACAATGAGAAATGGGTGCACGGTGAGAACAGGCAACAATGCCATCACGCACAGGGCAGGTGGGTGGGGAGCTAGACTGGGGGGGTGGGTGTGTGTGCTAAACTGGAGTGCAGATGCAAGAGCAAACTGGATCCCGTGATGTCAAGAGACACTGAAGAAATCGAGGTACAGCCGCTGCCCAGCTGGTCGAATTCGTAATTGCAAGCAATGACACAACCAGTTCTGAGTCATCCAGAGTTTGTCATGCACCTGAGTTTGCATCCTCCCTGGGAAAAAATCAAGCGTAACTATAATTACCATTTAAAAGGAGTGACAGACAAAAGGGTGAAGACAAGAGCCCGGTTTTCGCCTGTGGTGTGCCTCGTCTAGTTACTGCAACCTTCAGGAAGTTATGTCAAACACTTCTTTGTACCATTTTCTACCAACTTCGCAGAGGCAGAAACAGACACAACACAGAGTCAGTGAAACATCAGGGTGTACGTTCACAGAAAGATGATAGGAGAAATCCAAGGAAGAAATATTCTAGTACTTGCTTTCCTATATAGAGTTTCTGATTGATAGGAACTCCATAGTTTCTGAGTCTACAGTAATAAAAATGCTTTACAGTTCTAAAGCAGCTAATGGATACTTCTGGTGTGAACTGGAGATGTGTGCTTTCAAAAAGCCTTGGGGAAAAAAAAAATAATAAAGGAGAGAGAAGCAATGTTAGACTACAGCTCCCACTATCCTGGCCTCTGAACTACTTCATTGCTGGTTGAAAATAAAAGCAATGCCTGGAAGATGCACAGAGATGTTCTGGTTTATCTGTTTAATGCCATTCTTGTTAAATGTGGAGGCAAAAAGCCACAACAACAATATTATACTACATTTTCAGATTAAAGACTAATAAATTTAAATGAAATAACAATTCCACTAGCTTCAAAAATATTTTCTTAAACGTTCCAAAGGAAGACAAGCACCGTATTGTACTAAGTCCCTTCTCAAACTCAACTTCATCTCCTATCTGACTTGCTTAGGAACTAGTCCTACCTCTCAGACATGCTATGAATAATTTAGAAGTGTGTTGCCATCTGCTGGAGAAAGTACATCTTTTAATATATCAACTGATGACTGTGAAAGAACAGGCGAAGTTTAAGGCATTCAAAAACTTTCTTTAATCTGAAAGAGAAACAGCAAATTTCAGACTTAAGACAGGTTGGAAGACAATGGTCTGAGCTTAATTTAATTATGTCACTCAATCGGACACTTTACACAAAAAAACCCCACAAAAAACAAAAACCAAAACAATACCGAGGCGCTAACGTTTAACAGGAATGGGTGAGGGAATTAGCAAGAGAAAGGTGATAAAGTTCATATCCCCCCTGTGAAACAAGGAAAGGCAGGCAGTTAACACTAAACAGTGAAGGGCTGGGTTGAAGAGGGATCAAAACCCCTTAAATGCTCTAAGATCACTGTCTCTGCCAAGTTATCAGTTTCAGTTCTCAGGCTTATCATTAATGGATCTTCCTTGAGGATCAAAACTGACGGATTAGCCACAGGGTGCTGGTGATGGGAAAAAGGTTTTCTCACTACAAAAGCATGTTACTATCCTGCTTTTTTCGTATTCTAGGACAGATGGGTTATCCCCTAGGGTTTCCATGGGGGCACTCGGTGGGTTTACAAAGGGCAGCCTGCTCTGGAATGCACATGTAGCATCAACAGTCATTGGTAGTTGACTTATGGCAAAACAAAGTGTCAGGGGAACCGTGGTCTGCAGGTCTGCAATTGCTGCTCGGACATGATACAGTTCCACCCAGTGTTTACTGGTCTGCAGGAGTCTGCTTCTGACAATGGGTTTGAAGAGCTTGGGAGGTTGGTTAATGGTTAGGAGGAGGGCTCTGGCAAGATTTTGAGTTTTGATCTTTTCCAAGGTAAATTATAGTAGTTGTATGGCTTGTGTAGGTTCCAGTTCAGGCTCTCATGGGTAGCTGTGATACCCAGGGCACTCAGCCTCTGTAATTCTGTTTACTGCATTAAATTTGTACACAGCATTCAAAAGGTCACTCAGAAACGCTGTCCCTTCTCTTTGGAGAAGGTATCTTGATTGAGTGGGGGACACAGATATCTGCAGCACTTTCTTCAAAGCAGGTACAGGGGTGTCTGATAGCCTGAAAGTACATTACACCTTTGCTGGTATCTTATGGAGGCTGGTGCATTTAGGGAGTTACACCTATTTGCCTACGGCTTTTAAGAATATAGGGTATTTTTTATGCTGATCACTGTGAAGGAATATTCTATATACAGTGAGGTGGAGTGATGATCAGTACCGTCTGTAGTGGAAATCTGTGAGGAAGTCCAGGGTTTAATTCAAATTTGTGTCATTAGATTCTGCCCTTACTTCTTTCCACAGCCACATCTTCCTGCCCTCTCCTCTGCACCAGCAGTCATGTTTAGATCATGGATCACAGAGTCATCTGCTGCGGGGCAATGAACTGTCTCGCTCTGCAATCATATATGCACTGATGTGCACCAAGTGGGGGTTGGACACGGCAGCCAGGAATGACACAGACAGCATTGAGGAAGCCCAGATTTAAACAGGGTTAATCTGCTGGGAGTCTGGACCTTGGACACATTATATGTTTGTCAATGTCGTTATCTAGAATTACCTGTTCCTCTAGGCATCTGAAGAGAATAACATGCCATGCAACACCTATATGTTGATAGCTGTGTCCACAGCTTGAAGAAAATGTTAACTGTTTAAGGCAAAATTACTACTATTTGCTGCAACCGTGATCACAGCCTTACCAAAGCAAGATAAGGATTAAGGTTTCCAATCCAAATATATCGCCAAAATCCCCTAAATTTTCTCGCACAAGTGCCTCCTATAGACTTACACCACTGCTACACACAAAATGTAATCATCTGATTCTCCACACATTCCTGGTGAATCAAAGAGCTGACAAATCTTTCGTCTGCAACCACTGCTCTTCCCTTCTTTTCAGAATATCAAATTTGTGAATGTAGCACTGGAATATAATTACTGCACACGTTTGTAAATTAAATAATCACAGCAGATGATACTGCAGATGGATGGAGTAAGCTTGTGGGCTTGCGCTAGCTTTAGGCTGATGTTTTATTTCCAAATAAGGTGAAAATCTGGCTTCCAATTTAACCACATTAAAATCAGACACAGTTTTCTCATGAGCCCTAACAGGTAATAGTATCTGCCAGAATGAGAACAGACATTCCTTCAATTTCTAGACCTAACCAAGAAAAAAACAATTTATAAGACATGGACTGATCTAAGCTTTGAGTGGAAAGAGCTCATGGAGAGAGCTGTACATGGATAAATTTGTGTACAAATATCAATTTAGCCTAATATCCAGATATATTTCCCTCTTACCAAATAACCCTTCAGTTATTTGTTACTGCTAAAAATATGACTAAAAAGAGAAAAAGTAGAAGCATCATTGTTGAAGACAACAGGGGGAGACTTCATATCAAATGAGGGGTCAAACTACGCTCACCCCTGTGACATAAACATGAGCTGAAGCTGCAACAAATGTAGAGAATTGTAGAATGCTCCAAGAAACTAATCATCTCCTCTTTTTAAGAGAAGTCAAGAACTTCTTGGTTTGATAAATCCTGGATCTGGTAAATCTGAATGAAGGCTATGATTGGTGATGACTTTTGCAGAGGAAGTGAATGCTTTAAAATGTCCTGTACACTAAAGGACAGTGTTTGAACAAGAACAAAAGGATTCAGACTAGCCACAGCTTATATTAGACTGGAAAACAGAGCTCAAAATCATGGGAGTGTTTCGAACAGGTATGAGCTGTGGCAGTCAGGGATAAAAATACCCACACTATCAGACAGAGCTTGACAGGAGTACAGAAAGGACTATATGATGTGGTAACTACAAGAGTGGGAGAATGGATCTGATAGTCCAAGAAGTCCCTTCCTACCTGATTAGCCTAAACCTCATGTAATTTGTTTGTACCTTTTGAGATGCTGAAAGAGAACAGTTGCTGCTTATGAAGATGAGGATGATTAGACAGCAAAAGAATGTGGTTTTTCTATTTTGGCTCAGAGCTGCCACATAAAGAGGGTAAACAGCAGAGGCTGTGACTGGTGCTTGCAAGCAGGCTGCATCAGCAAAAGCCATGTTCTGTTTTTAGCAGAGTAGGCAGAGGTGACCCTGTGGAGGCATGCCATGGGAGCCTCCAGGAACCCAGCTAGTGTGGGACCTGCATGTCTGGCTCAGCACTGGGGAGAAGGCCTGAGGCTGAGTGATGCAGACCACAGCCCTAGTTTCTGAGGGTGCGGTGTCCAGTAAAAGAGCAGAGAAAAAGGAGGTGTAACTTTGTTTGTGAGAAGCCAACCACATGCAACTGCTGATTGTGGTGCCTCACTGCCACCTGATGTGCAAACTGAGTTTGGGAAGACCTCCTGTGTCTTGTAATGGATCCCTCTTGCAAGCTGTCCTGTACAGAGAGACATTTCTCCACTGCTTCCAGAACGTGAAGTTTATATCTAATATGCAGTACATAATATACTCATAGTATAGTACACAGCACACATACAGTGTATACATATACATCTCTATTCATTTTATAGAGGATGAAACCCAAAGGGTTGTGTAAGAGACTAGTCTTTTTGTTAATGCCGTTATAAATTCTGCTAGTTTAAGCTAGAGGATAAAATTGTAACAATTGTTGGCACACAAAACAAAAGACAAACCAAAAGAAAACTCCAGGTATTTATAACAAATACCATTTAGCAACACAGAAGCTGGGTCCAACATAGAAACCTGGGATAAACTTGCAGAGCAAGTCTAGTATAGTTTAAGGACAGCCTTATGCTGGATACCCTTATGCTGTGCCTCAACGATCCCTCTAGAGATAAAGCCAAGATTTTGCCACCTGATGCTACACAAGAGCCACAACACAGGAGTTTTTACAGAGTGTTTTAAAGCATACAATTCCTAGTTGTAGTCAGTAGAATTGCTCTGGCAATCAGGGCTAGTAGGGCACAGTGCTGCACTAATGAGGCGATTTCTCATGCATGTAGTCGCACACAAAAGGACAGCGTCACTGAAAACTGGGAAAGAAAACCTTCAAAGCAGAGTTACAGGTTAGAAAGCCGACACCACTTTGTAACAATGCCAGGTAAATGGGGATGTGTGGGGGTGCCTCTGCCTATCATGCACACCAAGATTCACACCTCTAATACTTGTATGCAATTTATTATGTGAATATGTATTTACACCGATTTCCAAGCAGCCTTGTACGCATGCTAATTAATCGTATAGGTCTTATTATACATGCTCATATACTAGGGAAGGGGTCTCTAGTGGTCTTTTTAGGGGTCTCTAGTGGTCGTGTGGGATAGTACCCTACCTCTATTTAGCCCTCTTTGGCGGCAAATCCAAGTTTTCATGTTTGGCATGGTCCTATCTTGTTATATTCGGCAACAAAACCAGAGAGTACAACCCGCCTAGACGAACTTCTGGTTATTACTGACAAAAATGCTGACTTTGTTCATCCGAGTGAGCCCTTTCTTTCAGCATAAGCCTTTCGGTATCGGCGGCAGCGAGCGGGCACCGCGCGGACCCCAAGGCCTGGCAGCAAGGGGGAATCACCGGGCACGGGAGTGTGAGGGACTCGAATCCACCAGCGCCATCGCCAGCGCCATCGCCATCGCCATCGCCATCGCCATCGCCATCGCCATCGCCGTGAGGGAGCGGCTCCTCCCACCGGGCCGGGCCCGCCGCCGCGCATGCGCACTGGAGGCGGGTCAGCTGAGCGCGCCGCGCCCGGGCCGCGCTGGGCCATGGCCTCCATCCTGGACGAGTACGAGGACTCCCTGCACCGCTCCGTCTCCGTGCAGCACAGCCGCGCCAGCGTGGGCATCCCGCACTCCGGTATGTGTGCGCCGGGGCCTCCCGTGTGCGGCCTTCCTGCTGAGAGGGGAGGCGAGGCGGCAGCTCCGGGTGGGGAGCAGGGCATGCCAGGCTGTGCAGCCTGGAAGAGGTGTGTCACCGTGTGTGTGACACGGCTGCGGCTGGATTTTCCACGGCTTGCTGTGGGAAGTGTTTAGAGACAGGGAGCGCTTGATTCCTGGCTCAGCAGAGTGGTGCTGCCTGTGTGTGGGAGGCTCTGGCCTGAGGCGCTGCGCGGGGCAAACGCGGGTGCGTGAAGAGTCGCAGTGCCTGTGTGGTCACAAGTTACCACCAACCACACCTCAGCCCTGAGCAGCTCAGTGGTAGCGGGTTGAGAACATCTCATCGTCACCTTGCTTCTTCTTTCTGCTCCTCTCTGAGGAAGCCATGCTTTACCGGGTTATGGATGTGTGCGCAGCTGTTCCTGCATGGAGTTCCTTTCCTAACCCAGGCGCAGTTTACCAAAGACTTCGTTTCTCTAGCGTGGTTCTTCTAGGCTGACATGTGACCAACAAAGCAGTCTGTATCACTACTACACTTTTCTGTCAAGGCATGTGAGGCTTTGGTACACTGTAGTGTGCAGGGAGGTGTCCCTTCAGTGTAAAGTAATAGTGTGATGACTAGTCCGTTTTTTCTTTCATGTCTGAGGAATTTATTCCATTATTATTCCGTGATAGATTCAAGCTTTATTAGGTTCAATAACCATTTTCTACTAGATGTCATCTCTCAATATTTTTTGAGTGTGGCAGAGAAATGTAGGTTATGAGAGAACTCTGTTCCACCTGGTGTTGTCATGGTAGTACCAGCTGCTATGCAGAGCTGCGTTTTTGAGTTAAAAGTTTGGAAATACCTGGACACATTATTTCAAGTTTTTTTCCTTGTATAGTGTTGCCCACTGGTAGCCTTTGGGGAAACCAGGTTGCGAGGTTCCTATATATACTAAGAATTGATAAATTCTGTCATGCTATGTATATTATGGAGTATGAATACACTGATAGAGTTACTCTGAGTCTAGGTACTGAAATAGGTATGTTCCCCTTGTTTGTTTTGTCATGCATGGTATTTCTTTGTGTGGCGTTAGATAAAGAATAAATGGCCTGAGTAGGTGTTGTGCAAAACAGTACTGGGACAAGTTGTGTCACTGAAAATAAATTTTCTAGGACTCAGCTTTTCTTCTTGACTGCTGCAACACTGTCTTCAGTCATGGCTGTCCTAGAATTGAGAAATCTGCCTGTTTGCTTACAGTTGATATTGGCAGAGGAAGTTCAGGAAACTGCTTAATTGCAAAGGCACAGTCTAATCAGGATTTCAGTTATTCTTAAATCAGGCCACACAGGCAAGTTTTAATAAAATTTGGGTTGGTAAAAGTTGTGGGCAATCTGAAGTTTAAATAAATTTATTTTGTAAAAAGATACAATAGTTAACTTCCTGAAAGCAGTCTTTAAGGTTAGGTTTGCAATTTTGGAAGACTTTGAAACATTCCTCAGTTTCAGGGAGATGTTCCCTGTGCTTATTAAACTGCAGGTGATGTTTCTCAAAGTTGTAGATAAACAAGCAGTGACTTTGTATCCAACCTAAAGTCCTGCTGCATTGTGTGGCTTCGAGTACTTTAGCTCTGGCTTTGAAAAGCCTACTTTAACCCACTAGACTTGACCATACTAGTGATCTTAGATCTTTGGACAGATTAGAAGGTCTGAGGAAATATGTAGCTTTGCCCAGAAATCAGGGTGGGAAACGCTGCAGTAGAATCTGCCTTAAACAGAAGAGGGACACGGGATAAGATGAGGGATGAGACTGTTTGAAAGGAATTAATGTAATAAAATAGACATCTCCTTTGTATAGAGAACTGTATATTAAGGAAGTTCATATTTCTTCTGTTAGGGACAATAGCTAAAATCCTCATATTAATGGTGATGATCCTATGGGTGCTATTAATATAATGGATACAGGCCTAAAGAGTCAAGAATGCTGGAATCCAATACTTTGGCTTGAACTATGACTGAATTAAACCATAAACAGTTTCTCCTTAACTCTAAACCCTTACCTCTGTATAGGTGCTATTTGTTCCCTTCTCTTTCCTACCTGCATTTCAGTTTCTTTGCTGAGTCAGCCTTGCTTTGCCAGGTGACAGTCTGAAAAAAATTTCAGATTACCTGGATGAATGTGACTTGATAATCTGATAACATGTGGATTTTTCAGAGTAACCCTTCCCTTTTATAGCGATATATAAAAATATGTATTTATTGGTTAGCTGTGATATGTGAATCTGCACCTTGGGAGCTTTATGTACGTGTTTTGAACTGCAGTTCATACCAGCAAATTTAAACTGTGGCATTGCAGCTCCCTTATCTGAAAAGAAGAACATCAGTTCTACTTAACTGGAAATAGAGGAATGCACACTTGTATAAATGGGTAGTGTAAGGTGTGGATCAGTGTGTAAGAAAAAAGCACATGCTGAGCAAAAGACTGCCTACTCAAGTTGTGGTTGCTTTGTCTCTTCCTGCATGTGCATCTTTCTTCTGGAAAAAGTGTATTTTAAGGATCCTGCAGCTGGTCTAGAGGTGAGGCAGAAGCAGGGAGAAAGCATTGGTGGAATAGACAATTAAAGGATTTGGCTACTAATAGCAGGCTACTTTCCACTACCACTTTCCACTACTACTTTTTCAACACCAGTAGGGCTGGAATTAGAGATTTTTTTTTTTTTCTCTGTGTTCCTGCTCCATGGAGCATACTTCCTTTCCAGTAAAACTTGGAGCAGGACATGATCCTTTTAGTCTTATAGACTGGATTTTGATGTAGTTTGGGGTTGTTGTTGTTGTAGGGTTTTGTCTTTTTAGTTTCTAAGTGTTTATGTTCTTCCTCCAGGATATGTCAGTGCACGACTGGAGAAGGAAACGCCAATATTTAACAAGCAGAGGATTGATTTTACTCCTCCAGAGAAAATTAACAGCTTAGTGGTCTCCTCTAACCAGCTCTGTATGAGCCTTGGGAAAGACACCCTTCTCAGGTAATGCTGCCAGAATCCTGAAGTTATTGTTTGTTTTTCCCCACTTTCTTTTTTTTCCTTAAGTTGTTAGGGAGCTTACATTTGCAAACTGGATTAAAAGTCACGAGCCCAATATAGAAAACAGGTGAGGGGTTCCACGTATGTGGACTTTTGTTGGCAGCCTGCTTTCATGGTTTCTCTTTGCAGGATTGATCTTGGGAAGCCAGATGAACCTAATCAGGTAGAGCTGGGACGCAAAGATGAAGCCAAAGTCTACAAAATGTTTTTGGACCACACAGGTGAGGCAGTGGGTTGTGGATATTTACAGACAGTGGACAGAGCAGAACAAATGCTGGTGAAGGAGTTCTCTTTCTGCTTTGTACATAAGGAGGTCAACCTTCCATGAGCCAGACTCTTTCCCAGTGTCCCTGTCCACTGATTTGCCCTTTTGTTATTAGTAAAGCATGGGTTTGTTGTGCCTCTGTTCTGTTTTTGAACTCTGGAATAAACACATGCAATTAGGCTGTTCTGAGCAAGGCTGCTAAAACCAAAGGAAATGTCACTCTCTGCTGTGTGGTTTATATAAAGAATTTTTAAAACGGGCCATAAAACATCTGCAGTTCACTGTAGCGTAGACTGATTTTAAACAGCTAAACAGAAGTTTGGAAAGAGATGCTCACATCTCTCACCAATTGCCAGGGATAGGAGGGAAGTCTGGGAAGTGTTTATCCTTAGAACATTTATCGAAATAGAATACCTTCTTGCTAAAGCGTCTGGTACCAGTTATTTGGCGTTGCAACATATGGGCTACTGTTCTGATCCAGCATGGAAATCCCCCGCATTCCCATGAATGCCTGGGAAAGTCTTGGATTACGTATGTTGATATTGGAACTTATCAAATGTTAGGATTAAGAAGCTGCAAGAATTTGGCTTGCTTAGGCACAGTCTTGATTTGTTCTCTCCTTCTCCCTCCCATACCCCTCTGCTGTTGGCAGGCTCTCATCTCCTGATTGCTCTGAACACCAGTGAATGCCTTTACCTGAACAGAAGTGTTCAGAAAGTGCGGGCGCTCTCCCGCTGGAAAGGACACTTGATTGAAAGTGTGGGCTGGAACAAATTTCTTGGTTCAGAAACCAACACAGGGCCTATCCTGGTGGGGACATCCCAGGGGCAGATCTATGAAGCTGAAATCTCTGTCAGCGAAGGAAGCCTCTTCAGCACTAACCCTGACCAGTACTTCCGACAAGTCTACACTCTGGAGGAGGAATCTGGACCTGCCCCAGTCTGCTGCTTGGAAATTGAACGAGGGATAGAAGGGAAATTTTTTATTATAGCCACCACTAGGAAGAGACTCTTCCAGTTTGTTGGCAAAGTGCCTGAAGGGACAGAGCAGCAGGGCTTCAGCTCCATATTTGCTGTGCATGCTGACCATCTGCCCAGTTTTCGGGAGTTTCCAGCCAACTTGGGCTTCAGCGAGATAGCCTTTTACACTCCAAAACTGCGTTCCAACCCACGCTCCTTTGCCTGGATGATGGGAAATGGTGTTTTATATGGTACACTGGATTATAGTCGTCCTGATTCGATTCTGAGTGATGAACAGGTCTGGGTTTATCCGCCTGATATTGACATAACTGTAAACAAGCCAATTTCCATTGTACTTACCCAGTTCCACTTCCTGTTGCTGCTGTCTGACCGAGTGAAGGCTGTCTGCACTCTGAATGGACAGGTTGTTTTTCAGGATCTGTTCCTGGAGAAATTTGGCTTGCTGACACGCATGATTAAAGATCCCACAGTCCAGCAGATATGGATCCACACTGAGAAGGTAGTCTTCCGCTATCATGTCCAACGGGAATCTAGAGACGTGTGGAAGATGTATATGAATATGAACAAATTTGATTTAGCAAAAGAGTATTGTAAGGACCGTCCAGAGTGTCTTGACATAGTGTTGGCCAAAGAGGCAGAGCACTGCTTCCAAAACAAGAGGTATCTGGACAGTGCCAAATGTTACGCACTGACCCAGAACTACTTTGAGGAAATTGCTCTGAAGTTCATAGAAGCCAAGCAAGAAGAGGCCCTGATGGAGTTTCTGATTAAGAAGCTGAGTAACCTAAAGCCTTCAGAGAAGACACAGACCACTCTGCTGACCACGTGGTTGACAGAGCTGTATCTGAACTGGCTGGGTATGTTGCAAGGAGATCCCTCACAGCGAAATCTCTATTTGGATACACGGGAGAAGTTCCGCACTTTCCTGAGCAGTCCTAAAAACAAAGACTGTCTTTTTAATAACCGGGCATCAATTTATGAGCTGTTGGCGAGCCATGGTGACACAGAGCACATGGTCTACTTTGCAGTCATCATGCAGGATTATGAGCGTGTAGTAGCTCACCACTGCCAGCATGACGAGTACGATGAGGCTCTAAACGTGTTGTCCAGGCACAGAGATGAGAAGCTCTTCTACAAGTTCTCTCCGGTTCTCATCCAGCATATCCCCAAGAAGGTAGTTGACGCTTGGATTTCTATGGGCTCTAGACTGGATGCCAGGAACCTCATTCCAGCCCTTGTAAACTACAGCCAGAGTGCCAGCACCCAGCAGATCAATGAAGCCATTAGATATATGGAGTTCTGTGTCTACCAGTTGGAGGAAACCCAGCAAGCCATTCACAACTACCTGTTGTCTCTTTATGCTTTGTGTCGGCCGGACTCGCTGCTGTCATACCTGGAGCAAGCAGGAACCAACCCAAACAGAATCCACTATGACCTGAAGTATGCACTGCGCCTGTGTGCAGAGCACGGGCACCACCGTGCATGTGTCCACATTTACAAAGTGATGGAATTATATGAGGAGGCTGTGGATCTTGCCTTACAGGTATGCGTGTGTCTGTGCATGTTGTGGTACACAGGAACGTAGCTTATTCAAGTTACCTTGAACAGCAGAGCATTGAGAGGAACTGGACAGACTCGCTGGTATCAAAGCTGTGTAGCTGAGGCTTGGAAGGAAGACCTGGCTCTGTTAACATTTTTCTGTGCTTTGACAACTGTTTAGAGTAGGCAGCTGACTGACAAACTATAACTGAGGGTGAGGGCATGGAAAGTACAAGGAGTACTGTCTGTCTCAGTCTCTGACATAAAATACCTTTAACAGACCAGCATTTATGTAAGGTTTGTACAGCTATTGTTAAGGATTCTAATTACTTCCTAGTCCTAGCTTTGGTAATTATAACAGAAGCCTTTGTCAGTTTAGTCTGACCTTCAGGGAGATGCTGGATTTTTTTCCTGTTGGAATTCCTGTGTCTTTGCTGAAAAGTGGGGCCAGCAAAGATACTGTAACACGAATTTACCCTTTCTGTGCTGGCCTTTGCTCACTGTTGGGGAGCAAGCCGATCTTCAGTAAGGAGTATTGGTGCAGAGGAGAGGTGTCTGACATGGAAACAAGGAGCAGGCCAGTAGTGCAGTCCTAGGCAGTGAAATAACAAGAGAGGTTTTCTAAATGCCTCTTCAAATGGACAGCAGGCTTTGAAGTTGAATGGTGGATAAACAAAGAGAGAAGCTTAACTCTGTTTCCTTGTCTGTCCAACTTTTAGGTAGATGTTGATCTTGCCAAGTCCTGTGCAGATCTTCCTGAAGATGATGAGGAACTCCGGAAGAAGCTGTGGTTGAAGATCGCTCGCCATGTTGTTCAGGAAGAGAAGGATGTCAAGAAGGCAATGGCCTGCCTCTCCAGCTGTGCTCTGCTGAAGATTGAAGATGTGCTGCCATTCTTTCCAGATTTTGTAACTATTGATCATTTCAAGGAGGCAATCTGTAACTCCTTGGAGGATTACAACAAGCACATTGAGGAACTGAAAAGGGAGATGGAGGAAGCCACACAAAGTGCCAAGAGGATCCGAGAGGACATCCAGGAAATGAGAAATAAGTATGGCTCTGTGGAGCCTCAGGAAAAATGTGCTGCTTGTGACTTTCCACTTCTAAACCGTCCTTTTTACCTTTTCCTGTGTGGTCACATGTTTCACTATGACTGTCTCCTGCAAGCAGTTTTCCCAAACCTTCCTGCCTATAAGCAGGCAAAACTTGAAGATCTTCAGAAGAAGCTGGCAACTACCAGCCAGCCATCCAAGAGCCACCATCGTCCCAAGGACACAGACACCATTAGCTTGGGGAAGGGGCAGCAGAGCCGGGAACAGATCAAAGCTGACATTGATGATATTGTGGCAGCTGAATGTGTGTACTGTGGTGAGCTGATGATCCGCTCCATTGACAAGCCTTTTATTGATCCCCAAAAGTATGAAGAGGAGATGCAAAGCTGGCTGTAGTTTTTCTAATCTTCAACTGTCAAACAAATTATGAAGCTTCTGTGGTGGGAATATAACCTCCAGGAGCAAGAACACAGTGACTTCTGTGCAACTGTAAACAAAGGGTAGTGGAGTATTTTTACCAGGGTTAGGGAGAACTAGTCTTGAAAAATGGGGAGATATAGCTATGGCTGTTTAAGAACTTTAACAATACTTAGAGCTAACCTACTGGAATATATTTAGCAGATGTTTCTGCTTGCAGTACTACTGAGGTTCTCTGTGTGAAGCTAAATGGAGTGCCTTGTTGTCCAGAAGGAATTGGGAACAGCCTGTGTTTTTTCTGCCCTGTTGTGTGGTACTTGTTTTGGTGAAGATGAGCTGGAATAGAAAAGTAGTGAAGGCCACTAAGCAGTGTAGTCTTCATTCATCACTTTCAAAGCTAGAATTTTTGTTGAGAATCTGTAACCACATAGAAAGAACATGAAAGGACAGAAGCTCCTCCAGTTTTATATTTTGTAAGCATCATGCTATACAAATACATGTTTCTACACAATGTGATACAAGAATGTGCATAAATTTCAAGCAGGAGTATCTCATAATACACTAAAGTAATTTGTCTGCAATTCAAGATGTATAATTCTCACAAGCTTTATGCACAAGACCACACACATTTGGATTTTCTGTAGGTACTGTTTCTTGAAATGCCTGTTCACCCCTTCCTCTTTCCATCCTTTTTCTACTATGACTGCCTTTGTACAGTGAGTCTTGGTTTTGTCTTCACCCCAAAACAAAACTGGTAGATGCAGTAGTAAAGTTTCAGTTGACACTTGTCTTCAAGCTGCACCTTAGCATCAGACTCGAGATCTAGTCAGAGGATTGCTCAAGGGTAGTCTACAGAAAAGTTCTGTTGGTGTGAAATTTGCTTTGCCCTTTGAAGCTAGTACCTTGTGCCTAAACAGTCTTTTGCCTTCCACTTTTTGGAGATGGCTGCAAGTCAATGCTTTTATCTATTGCTTCAATTTGGAAAATTTTTCTCAAAAGGTAGCCATCACTGCATTGTGAGTGAGAGAAGAAAAAAAAAATTTGTTAGCAGTTTAGCAAGGGCTCCTTGTTCCTTGTTAAGAAAATAAAATTTTAGTTAGGTTTTGCTGTTTGGGACTGAATCACAAAGGTAGTAATTGACAGAATAATTGAATGTTCTAAAAGAAAAAACAATTCTTGTAATTAAGGCAATAGAAAATAGTATCTTCTGAAAAAACACCCCAGTTCTTTCACATGAATATGCGTGTTTGTCTTGAATACCTCTCAATCTCCTAACCACTTACCCTGTTTGTAGGGTTGTAGAAATGGGTCTTTGTGCTATTTTAGGAGAATATGTATTGGTTTCCTCAAGGATCTGAGTTCAGAACATCAGAAGAACATCTATGCTTTTTTTGGGAGCATCAGCCTGGAATGAATGAATTTTATCTGCATAAAATGACACGAGTAATAAAAAACAGAAATGAAAGTAGGAAGACCTGAGGTTTCAGGATCTTCTTTTCTTTGATGGAGCCGTGGGATAGGCAGTCCCATTCACCACCTGGTGGTGTGTGTTTGCTGGCTTGTCAGAGAGCACTGTGTCAGTGGCTCCATTAAGCGGTGGTTCAGAAAACCCACATGCTGTAGTTTTCTTTGGCTCTGCATAGCCTTTTGCTTTAATAAGCGAATAAGCTGGTGGGTCTGGCAGAAGAATTTGTGATGAAAATGAAATGTGATGTCCTTTGAAGTTTACCATTAAACTTGTTATAACTGGCCACTCCTGTAAATCATCATCTTTTCCTGTAAGCAGTGTGATATTTAAGGTTGTATGTGTTGTTATAAAGCAACAGTAGTTTCCCACCCAAACCAGTTTCTGGTCAAAGGTGTGTGGCTATTTTTGTGCCCTTTGGCAGAACATGGGTATCAGCTCATTCTGATGTAGGGGTAATTTCAAATTATTTTGACATGTTCTTAATACTTGTTTTGAATCTTTTGGGCTTCTACAGGATGCTTTCCTGGTATATTAGAATGACTGTAGTCCTCCATTCTTTTCCTGTTTGTGCTAGAGAAGTGGCATCACGAAATAGACATTTGCAGAGTGATCTGCTTGTCCACAATATTGCAGGAAGCTGTGGGAAGTGAGGCTTTGCCTCTAGTCTTTGCCTGATACTGTGTGGTGGGGAAAGGTTCCTCTGATTCCAGTCATGTAGATTAATAGGTGTCATTTAACAAAACTAGAACTAGGTATTTTTTAATGACTAGTATGCAGTTTTCTCTGAGGGGTGTAGACATATGCACCAGATACACGTGCCACAAATCTCATTCTTCCTCACCATTGTTAACTGAAAAATCATTTAAGTGATGTGTTGTCAAGGCTAGAGAGTGTTACTGCTGGCAAAGACTGCAGCAGTGATTAAATGACTAGTGCCAGTAATACAAAAAGTTACATAATGGTATCTTCTGAATTTTCTTTACATTGTCACATACTTCAAAAGTTTCAGTAACCACTTACCTGTACTTGGCAGTTTTGCAACATCACTTAGTGAAAAAGGTAAGAGGGTTTATTTTTTCTTGGGGGTGGGGTGCCTTTGTGGTGGTGGAGGGAAGTGAACCCTTACTGTTCTCCCATAAATCTAATCTGAAAGATCTCTCCCTCCTTGCATTCAGAATACAATTTTTATCTTTTCTCCTTGTAATTTCAGCAGTTACATTTTAGAACTTGCAGTCCTTTGTATGTATTTTAGGCTATGAATGAACTGTACCAGCTGTTAAGAATGATGTGGCCTTGGGTCTTGTCCTTGTCTGTGTGAATAACTCCTACCACTTATCCTAATGCAGCTGAGGAACAGCATAACCAAAAGGGTGGGTGGGAGCCCCAGCCCTGTGTAGCCAGAACAAATATCTGTAGCTACACCCAGACTGAAGAAATTCAGTTGTGCAGGCAAGGCCTAAAGCAAACTTGTGCCTACTACGTGACCTCTCCTAGGCTTTGAGTGAGGGATGGGGGGAAATGCTCTGAATTGTGGGAGACAGTGGTGAGTGTGTGTTTTGAAAGAGTTTGTAGAGAATTTCGGGTGCACTTGCTGTTGTTGGCAGTAGCTAAGTGAAATGCTGAAAGCAGTGGGTTCTGCCTCCTTTAAAAATGAACGCCCAGGCTGGGAATTTAGAAAGGCAAATTATTAACAAGCCACTAGATGTCGTTGCTGTCCATTTAAATACTGAGGGTTGCTTCAAGCTGAAAGTGTTCTGTAGCAGAGGAAGAATGGCACAAAAGTAAGGAGCTGAAGCAGGATCCTAGTGCCTTTGGAGGAGTGTGCTGGGAGTTTGGAGAGACAACCTTTGGTGTAAGGTATCTTGGATTTGCAGGTAAAAATGCTAAAAGGTTGTCTTTAACTAAATGGCAGTTTCAGCTCACAGATCACCAATTCTCATGTTTTGAACATCAAAAGCTGGATTTACTGTTAATAAATGAGTATCAAAGAATTGTAGAATCATTTAGGTTGGAAAAGATCTTTAAGACCATCGAGTGCAACTGCTAACCCAGCTTAGCCAAATCCACCACTAAACCGTGTCTCCAAGTGCCACATCCACATGCCTTTTAAATGCCCTCTGTGATGGTGATTCTGCTGCTTCCCTGGATAGCCTGTTCCAATGCCTGACCACTCTTTCGGTGAAGAAGTGTTTCATAATACCCAATCTAAATCTCCCCAGCACAACTTAAAAGCCATTTCCTCTTACCCTGTCGCTTGTTTTCTGGGAGAAGAGACCAGCTGGCCCCTTGCTACAGCCGTCTTTCAGGTAGGTGTAAAGAACAATAAGATTCCTCCTGAGCCTCCTTTTTTCCAGTCTAAACAACCCCAGTTCCCTCAGCCACTCCTCCTAAGACTTGCGCTCTGGACCCTCCTTGCTCTTTGGACATCTCTTGGTGCTCCTGCACCTCAAGTGAGAAGCCTGAGATTGAACAGGGTGTTTGAGGTGCGGCCTCTTCTGTTCAATTGTATTCTAGTGTATGTTCCCTACAGACCTGGCTGATTTAGTAAACTGTAAAGAGATCATCCCTAGGCTTGGAGTTGCAATATCTGGTGGTCTTGGGTCTGGTGATTTTTGCTTGCTTCCTCTTCATACTCTCGTGACAGCAGACAGGGTGTAAGCCAGCTCCTTAAGTGCCTGAGTTCACATTTAGTGTGTCTTGTTAAAAGCACCAGTAAAGCTGGGTTTGTAATATGACACTGGACACTGACTTGCATAAACAGATAAGCTAGTATGTTTGCTTTTTCCTTTTGAGCTGTGGCATCATAATCCCCGTAAAACAGCAAGTGGGAGTAGGTACATGTTGTACTTTATCAAAATAAGATGTAGTTTGACTCAGACTGCAGTCATGTATTAGCTTGTGTTTCTTGCAATGGGTAGCTCCCATTCACCCCTGCCCTGTCAATGCCAACATATAGATTGTCTATGTTTACAAGTGCAAATTCTTAGTTTCTAGTGGGATTCTGTGGGAAGTGTGTTGTTCCTTGCCTTGCTTCATCCAACAACTCTGTACTGAGCTGTGGGAAGACAGACTAAAACTAGACTTCTCCCTTGCAGTGAGTGCTCTGAGCTGAAATTTGAGGTTTGAAATGTACAAGACTTACGGTGTTTTTGAATTTTAAGTTGTTACTGTTGAGATGGATTAAGTATTTTTCTCCAGAATAGAGTGATGGAGTAAGATGTGATTCACTGTGGTATGTGAAGTATTGTAGTGTTTATGACAGAATCTTATGGATCTGCAAAGCAGAGAGGGGCTGCCAGGATCTTCTGTTGGTTTTGTACATGAAGGAAGTGATACACTAGAAGGGAGAGGGAATAGTGGTTTCTTTAAAATAATTTGGCCAAACTTCTGAATGTATCTGACTTCAGAGAAGCTTCTCCAGTGAAACTGTGATATTGGGTGATATTGATGTGATATTGATGGATCTGTACTTCTCACGCTGTGGTGCTAAAGCAAAAAAAATTACTTTCCTTTGAAATAAGGACTTAGTTAAAATTGAAGAGCTTAGGGCTTGAAAGAAGGACATTACAGGCATTCCTTAAACTGTGAATTATGTATGAGTTGAGCTCCTAAACTGTCTGCTATCTCTGATTATGCCCTGTCCTGACTTTACACCTTCTGAACCCTTTGGGATTTGCATTTCATGGCAATACTGTGATTTTGGAGACTTGTGATAATTTCCCTTCAACTCACTGTTTGGGTTTTTCACTCCCAGATCTCAAGGAAAGGTGTCAGGCTATTTATTTAGGGTATGAATTTCAAAGCAACCTGGCCTGCAGCTGCTTTCAGGTGAAAGGAGGGGAAAAAAGATTAGACAAACTTGTTAGATCTACTCGTTGAAACTTGCTGGGATGGAGAGAAAAGGGGGCTCAGGCATTTCCTCTCTGTCACGCCGGAGGTATTGGAGGCAGCTTGTTTGAGTAGGACTGGTTGCTTAGAAACAGGGAAGTTACAGGAGCACTCTAAGGTTACATCTACAACTAATCCTATACACTGTCTTTGCCATGGAGGGGCAGCTCAGTGGAGGAGTTTCCAACGTGCAGCACGTCTGTATTGGGTTCAGACTTGCTACAGTGCTTCCAGGCCCCTGTGGTGATAGGAGAGCTGTTTTAATTCAACACTTTAATTCAACACTTGAGCTGTAGAGCTTGGTTGGTGTGGCACAATGATGTATCAGGCTGTCTCACAGCACAGAGATTTCCATCATATGCTTCCTAGCACCACATAAGTACCCTTGCTTTATAAAGGGGCATACAGACTGTACCTGATACGTGACAGGTAGTAATTCTGGCATTTCCCTACTTTGCAGGAGTTCATATATTCCTGTGCTGCTGTGTTGGCTGTGGGCTGTGTTGTCATCAGAAAAGGATTAGATACAGCTTTTTGTTTGTTTGACACATGGTTTGTTTGCTTCATCTGAACTGAGAATACTAGTTTTTGGTAGGGTTTTATTACAGTGTCAGTGTTCCAGAGAAGCCGAACTACAGCCTAGCCCACATTTCATGATCCGTCCTAAATGGCTCATTGTAGGTGATGGCTAATAGGAAAAGGATTGAACAACTGGTTTGGTATCCTAAACCAGATATTCCCTTCTTGGTGCAATTTAAATCCACATCCTGGTCACTTGGCATGGGGCATGATCTTCAGAACACAGCCTGAACTTGGAGGCTGCTGGACTCTGCTTAAGCAGACATCTGTGTTTTCCAATTAGTCAGTTATTCAACAGTCTTTTTTAATCTCTTTGTGTGTACATGCTGAATAGATTTTCTAGTAAACAAATTATTACTGTGAAACTGGGTTCATAAGAAAGTGGTTCCTATCTACAGATTCTCCTTTATTTTCACACATTTCTTAAAAGTGAGGTACACAGTGTGGTTTTGAGGAATGTCACAGGCAAAGAGGAGCACAAAGGCTGGTGGGTTCGTTTTTGAGGACTCTTTTCTACAGACTCTACATGACGATTATTAGCAGCTGCCCTGGCTGTGTTCGATGGCTGCTGCATGTTTTTCAACATGTGAGCAAGACATTTATTCTCTGGTAAGACCCTAGGGAAGGCACGGGTAGTAAAAAATTGTTGGTCTTTGACTAATTACCATGGTTTTAGCAATATATCTGTTGTCCAATTTTTCTCATAGTAGTTATCAAAATAACAGTATAATAAAATATTCCATATGAAGCTGAACAATATGTTGCCATTCTTGATAACAGGACTGTAGACTTAGATCAGCTATGTTGTTTGAGAGAATTGAGCAGTGGTTGGGTGAGGAGGAGAGAGCCTTGAGGTTT